AATATTCGATCATAAATATTTGTATATATGTCATGTTTAGGAAATATCAATCATTTTTTAAAATAGTTTTAGCAAAAACATATATCAGCTTTTTAGGAATTAGGAAAAAACTTAAGCAACTTTGAAACTTTTTAAAACTTTAGTAAAATTATGAGTTCTGCTGAAAAATCTTTTCTTTTTTAAAATTTTTAATTTAAATTTTTTTAATTCTTAATTTTGAACTTATAAATACGAGTTAATTTAATTTTGAGTTCTATAATCTCTGATCATGAAAAACAAATTCAATGAGGTCATAAAAAAAGTCTACAAGTATCAAAAGATAAGCCAATTTAAATTCAATTCAAGGCTGAAAGAGTCCTTAACTGGAGATATTATCACCCTTACCTAGTCAGCACGAGGCAATCAACTTACACAAGTAAGCAATTTTTAACCCAATCACTTAAAATTAGATCGATCGTCTACCCCGTCTGCATTAGTATTCAAAGTCAGAATGCATTAAAAACTTTTCGCACTATTCAATTGATATAGATCATTGTTTCACAAAACAGTTGATCAAGTGCGGTCAAGCAAATAAAGCAAAAGATATAATTGATGACAAGCTTTAGTTATTGTTCATTCTAAGCGATGGTGATGATTTAAGAAAATCAGTACACTTTTACTAAGACAGCACAGTAATCGATTAATTATTTAGGCAGAATTGTGTGATGTGAGAAACCAACGCATTAGAGTCAGGAAGCTTAACAATCAACGTTAATTACCCATTCATGTTTCAACTTCTTAAGTTTATAAACGTCGCGTGCCGTGGTTAAAACGTAGATAGCATATTTGAGTGTAAGATTAAATCCTTTCTATTTTGATGGTTTTTAGATACCTCTTATCTTTATGCTCTTGAAGCAAGGGTGCTTTTTTAGTTTACTTAAAACGCAAGAGCTGTCATGACATTTGTCAACTAAGACTTGCGTTCAAAATCAATTTTCTGTGTATGGATTTTATTTTTTTAACTGCTGCTCTTAACTGCTTTTTTTAATTTAGATTTTGTTGTATCAATATGTCTTTGTTTTAATAATAATTAATATTTCATTACAAATATTTTTAAATTTACATTTAGGGTGTAATTGTATGGTTCCCGAACTTTTAACTATGATTAATTATGTTATTTAATGCATGGTTCTTGACCTTTTTTTTACTAATTCAGACAGGGCTAACCTGAATTAACCGTTGACCAAGAGCTTGCTTGATTTTTCACTTTTCTAATTATCTTTTTGTTATGTTACCTGGTTGTTACCATATGTTACCTCCATTAGTTATACTCCTGTGTCGCTACATTATAACAGCACAGGAGTTAGGGTTTATGTGATGTAATACTAATAATAATAATAAGCATAAGAATTCATTCTTGAAAATATATAAAGAGTTAAACTTAAATATTTTAGCTTAAGAAAATGAGTACATTTTAGCATGCTCGTAATTGCTGAAGTATTTTGATAAAATCCATTGCAACACACCTAGTTGGAAAAATTCTAGGATCGGGTAATTTAATTTTAAGGTAAAAATTAGTACTAGAAATTATACAAAATTTTCAATTTTCCATGCAAATAGGGGAAAATTACATTTCTTTAGAAGAGAATCTGGATCGACAGCCAGCGAAGATTTTAAAAGGAAAATTTTGAAAAAAATTAAAGAGAAAATTTTGACCTTTCATTGCTTTCTTTGGATGAAGAGCTTTTAACCTGGTTGTTTATGTGAGCGATTATTCCACAAAAAATCCTGATTTCACCCACCATAAAAATAGAATTACAAGAACCTTTTTTTATGCATGAATGGTTTATTTTTTACTCCCTGTTAGAATTATTGGTACACAATGAACCCTACTTTATCATGAAATTTTGAATTGCAGGAAATTTACGTGAGGTTATTTGTTAAAATTATTGGTGTAATAAATCAAATTTGTGTCTAAATATTAAAGAATATAATGGTTCAAATAAAATGTCTTTCTTCGAAGGGTATTGCTTCTTTTTAGAACTTTTTTAAAGAGGGCATTCTTTACGTTTGATAAATTGGTAAATGGGAATTACAAAGTATATTTTTACAAATGATCACTGTATGTTTAGAAAGTAATAGCAGAATTTTAATTAATTTATTAACTATTATTATTATTATCATTAACTATTATTATTACTATTATTAACTACTACTATTATTATTATTAACTATTATTATTATTATTATTATTAACTATTATTATTATTATTATTATTATTATTCTTAACTATTATTATTAATATTATTATTATTATTATTGCTATTAGCTATTTTAATTTACAGAGTTATTACTGTTCTTAACTGAAGTTATAAGTCATACAAAGTAAGAAATTAAAGATTTATCTTTAAATAAATTGTTTGGACTATGAAATTGTTGTTATTTTATACGAAACTTTTGCTAAGAAATAATTTTAATCGTGTTTCTGAATCTTAAAGTCTAGCAGTAAATCTCTAAAAATTAAGAATCTTCATTTTTTTTTTCTAGCATTCACTCACTAAACTTAATTTTGCTTTGTAGTTTTAATCTCACGAACTGTGTAATAAAAATTATATAATAAAACTAAACTGTGAAATGAAATTAAAACAATGTAATAAAATTAAAAATTATACAGACGCTGAAATCTTTAATAGAATATATTCGAAAAAATGCAATAATATTACATTTATTGCGATGGCTAATTAGAAAAATGTCTAATGTAATAACATAAACAAGTACAACAAGTAAATAAATAATACCATATACAACAATATTGTAAGCAACACCATGAAGTATTATAATCATATTATAAAATTTAGTGCATACCTTTTGATTTTATTTTTTAAAAAAAATATTATTAACAAAACATATAAAAGACATTTTTATTAAAAATTAACCGGAATGTAACTTTTTTTAAATTTGAAGTATTAAGTGAATTATAGATCAGATCAACTCTTTATTTTTAAGATAACACAATTTTAAAAGTCGATGGCCAACGAAACTCACAACAAAAAAAATTACGGTATCCGAAGCAAGTAATAGAATGTTATTTTAAAAAATCTATTCAACCAGTTCGTAAGTGTATGACGATAAACGACCTTGCCAAACATGCATCATAGCCTCAAGATATATTTACTAATAGAGGTTAAAGCAACTTCTTTTTTCACTCATTACCTAAAACAACAGAACCAATTGCCCTAAGTCACTTAGTCAGCTGGATATTACCAAGTAAGCAACTTACTGATGATTCTAAACTGCAACGTGTTTATCAGAGGGCAAAGAAATTGATAGGAAAATTTAGTTGACCTTTGTAACCGGGAAGAGATGGTGTAACTTTAATGCAACTTCTGTTTTGTTTAACCTGAGAGAAAAGGTTGACTTTCGTATGCATCTTTCAACAACTTATGGACACATATTAATGATACTACTAAGTGGATGCTATAGTTGCAAGCGATTAAGTATTCAAAAATAGTTGATGATGTTGAGAATATATAATATTAGAATATTCGATCATAAATATTTGAACTAATTGGTGCTGTTAAAAAGACTACGGTTACTTAGTTAGAGTCATGTTGAAAGAATGTAATATATTTGTAGGAGCGATATATTTTATTCGCATCTGTAAATGCATATATAGGAGATGCAATTTGTTTAAGTGAAATAGAATTTGTGACGTTATCCAGCTATATTTCCTCTCTAATGGAAACCTTTCTCCAAAATTATAAAAGCCAAAGTAAGTTATTATCGTCAAAGTCATTTAAAGTTATTTTTGTTATGTTAAGCTTATATTTAACTATGTAGAGCATTATAATTTTATTATGTTTTAGATTAAAAAATGGTTTTATTTCGTCTTATTAAATAGTTTTATTTAAATTCAAAATGTAGAGAAAACATGGCAAAAACTACAAAATAATGAAAAAAGAGAAGAAGAAAATTATTTAAGAAGGAAAAAGATTTAATAAAAATCCGGGGAAAACAGATGTAATCTCTTCATCAGCTCACACGAGTATAACCGCAAAAAGTCTTCTTACATCTTTTTTCCCGGATTTTCATTGATTTTTTAAGAAAAAAAAATTTTTTTTTCTTTTTTCATTATTCTGTAATTTTTTTCATGCTTTCTCTGGATTTTCTCTGAATCTATTTTAGGAGTTCTATATACTTGCACCTTATACGCGGCAAATAATACTTATTGATATTCTTAAATTGCCGGCCAGGTGGCCGAGTGGTTAGCGTGTCTGACTGCGGAGCCAATGGCCGCGGGTTCGAATCCCGCTCTGGGCATGGATGTTTCTCTCTCTGTGTTGTCTTCTGTTGTGTGAATGAGTGAATGTGGCCCACCCTATGAACGGGTTTGTGGCAGTATGGCGTGGGTAACGTTGCTCGCCTCCGTGACTTTGGTTCACAGGTGCCCACTGGGTAACGCTAAATGAGTAACAATTCCGGCATCTTCTATGGCGAAGAACGAAAAGTTCAGTGCCTGCCGTTATTAAAAAAAAAAAAAAAAAAAAAAAAAAAAAAAAAAAAAAAAAAAAAAAAAAAAAAA